GAGCTGGGCCGGCGGCCCGGTGCGGCAGGTGGGTAGGCCTGGGCTGGGGGCGGCAGGAGCAGAGCCCGGCTGAGGCTGCCCCGCAGGGCGCGGGGCGGGGGCTGTGGAGGAGGGAAGGCGCCTGGGGGAGGCCTTGGGTGCGGGAGGGGGACGCGTTTGGGGTCGGTGGATGGGGTGGGAAGCAGGTCTGTGGGAGCAGGCTGGGCGGGAGGGAGTGGGGCTGAGGAAAAACTGAGAGAAATGTCTGTAAACGGAATGGTCTGGGGGAGAGGGAGAGGAGGCGTGAAGGTGAAGTTACTGTGGGGAAGCGGCTCTCTGAAGTTGGGAAGTGGTACGGATCTGGTCAGCAGCTGTGTCGTTGCTGGGGTGGTCACTCGCTGGGGTTCTTGGTGTAGGTGCGGCTGGTGCTCTGCTGGGAAGGGGCTCGCTATGCTTGATCTAGTGCTGTACGTGAAGTAACAGAAATGCACACTTTATAAGTATTTTCATGGCATCACAATTTCGTACTGGGTTTTTTAAATGAGAAATGCTCTAGCAGTACAAAGCTTAGGGGCTAAGTCAGAAAACCAGAAGATGCAGAGATAACGTAATAAAATAATACATATTATGGAATAGACTGAAAGGTTAAAGATAAACACTGAAAGGTATTCCATGTTGTTTCATTTTATTGACTCTTATGAACTATATTTTAAGTCAGAGTGAAGAAGTTTTGGATACCAGAGATAAGATTTTTAAAGAGTAGTTTGGGGGGAGAAGACTGAGACTGCTTGTGATGGAGGGGTCTGTTATTTGGGACAAAGAACATATACAACAAACCTTAATAAAACTGAGTGAGCACCATAGTGGGAAGCTTGTCTGTCATGGTGGCCTCTACACAGGATGGCTGGGATCTAGAGCAGCCCTTGCTTTTCAGAGAACATATGTGCAGACTGACAGAGTGGGTTTTAGAATGAACATTAGGTGACAAACTGCTTCTCCCAAAATCTGTGGGGTTTGCTTTCTCCAGAGGTGCTTCACTTTACTCATCTGAACTCTTTGCATATGGACTGAGTTGAGCCTGACCAGTTCAGCTGTATCTGTTAAGTTACTACACAGGACCTGCTCCACAAAAACTGTCACTGTGTAGACAGTTTGCTAGAACAGACTCTAGCTCTGTGGTGCGTGCTTTTCTTTTATAAAAGAATAAGCAACATCAAATTTCTTTAGAGGCTGCAGGGTGAGTTTGAGGGAGGTGATAGTTGTGGAGAAACTGATTTACAGTAACGTCTTTAGAAACTGTCACTCATGATTCCCTTGTAGACTGTTAGGCATTGTGAGAACTTGTGATTGAAAATTACACTTCTGGGAGATAAGGATCTGTTGGTTTGGGATGCGTGATGTTCTGGTTTGTAGAAGTAGAACATGTAGGAAAAATACTGGTTTGGGGAAAGACTGTGGTGATAGTATAAACTTGCTTTATTTAGAGCAGCATATTGTTAGGAGTGACCCTGTGTCTTCAGCAATCTTACAGGCTGCCTACACAGCCTAATTCCTTATGCTAGTTATGCTGCTGTTTGCAATAACAAGAAAAATGCAGGGATCATCTGAACCAGGTACCTAGGAAAATCAAATGCCCCGTGTCTGCTTAAAACAGTTCCGGATTTGGCAGTGTTAAGTGAGGGCAACACGTACTTGATCTTTGAGATAGGCTTGCTAGATATAGTTATTCCTCTCTTATTCTTGAATTGCTTACCACCTGAACTTAATCTTCACCAATTACTTCAGTTCATACCCACGTACATGCTGCTTACACAGGCTCAGCACCTTCACTGTAACTCAGGAGGCTGCCCAGCTAGATCACATCAATAGAAGGTGTCTCTAGAGGGGAGGAGAGATTCTTAAGATCTGTACTTCTTAGGATCTAGTATAATAATATAAGATGGTTAGAAGTCCGGGATTTTCTCATTGAATTGTTGAACCTTCTTGTCTTATATTCATACATTTTTAGTACACTGTTCAGCTGTCTAATTTTATTTGTAATTACTAGCTTTCTGCAATAAATGTCTACAGATCTGTTTTCACTGTAGTATCTAGTTTCTTATTCTACTCAGACTAGATCACCTTGACGGAGAGTGGCTGCATTGTCTTATGCATCTAGACTTGATTAGTAGTTTCTAAATAGTGTAAGTGTAAGCTCTAGCTGAACCCCAGCTGTATTCAATGTTCAGTCTTTCAGCACCTTAAATCAAGCTCCTTCATTGGCTTGATACATCTGCAGGAGTTGCATTTGGGCAGTGCTTCAGTTCATGGCGTTGCACTCCTGTATGCTTGAGGAGGGATGGGTATTTGAACTAAACCTGAGAACTGAATGCCTCCTTGCTTACAGAATCTGAATGTGACTACTAGGATTTTTCTATACTGTGGTCTATACAATGAACGCAGTGTATGTACTGTTTGTAAAAGAGAGAGGCAGTTAAGGCAGGTTGTATCAAATTTCTATGCTGGCAGGCAGAGTTTGGCTTGATGACTTATGTCAATATAAAACTATTGCACTACTGTGCACATAGTTGAAGTCTTCATCTTACAAGAAATATGGTGTTAGATTCAGCTCAGTAAGGGCCTGACTTTCCTAAATCCTGAATATTTATACTCAATATGTGATTCCTTTAATATTCATCAAACCAAATTCTCATTAGTCAAAGGAATCTTATCTTTGGATTCCTTGTTTTGGTGTAAAGGATAAAGGAGGTGGGCTTAAAGAGTAGCCACAAATTTCACATTTAAGATTCACAGTGCCCAACTTCTCCTGTCTGATACATAGATTAGAATGGTGATTTTTTTTTTCCCACAAAAGAACAACAAAACAAAACCCCTTTATGAGGTCATCAAATAACTCAGCAGTGTTAAGTTCCCTTTCTGCTAGGTTTTCTGTCAACCTGTAAGAAAACCTTAACTAATTCGAGCAATTTATAGCATTGTCTGAAATTAGATATTAGTTAATATCTAATTACATTCCATTTATTTCACTTGGCAACAGTGGAGTTTCCTGGTTGAGTCATAGGCCAGTGAAACACTGATACAGCCTCCATTATCCTTGTCAAAAGTCTTGAGTTTTGGAGCAGTTGAGAAGAAATCATTGGTTGATCCTTAGGAGTTACATTTTAATGTGTGACTGCTCTGTGCATAAGTGCACTTGCCAGTGCTAAAAAGCATTTGCATGATATTAAAAAAGCCAAGTGTCATAGTTTAACCCCAGCCGACAACTAAGCCCCACACAGCCATTCCCTCCCTCCCCCCACCCCAGTGGGATGGGGGAGAGATTCGGAAGGATAAAAGTGAGAAAACTCTCAAGTGGGTTGAAATCAAGACAGTTTAATAGGTAAAGCAAAAGCCACAACCACAAGCAAAGCAAAAGAGGAATTAATTCACCACTTCTCATCATCAGGCAGGTGTTCAGCCATCACCAGGAGAGCCGGGCTCCATCACGCATAATGGTGACTTGGGAAGACAAACACCATCACTCGTAACATCCCCCTGCCTCCTCCTTTTCCCCCACAGCTTTATACGCTGAGCATGACACCATATGGTGTGGGAAATCCCTGGGGTCAGCTGTCCTGGCTGTGTCCCCTCCCCGCTCCTTGTGCACCCCCAGCTCATTCGCTGCTGGGGTGGGGTGAGAGGCAGAAAGGCCTTGACTCTCTGTAAGCACTGCTCAGCAGTAAGGAAAACATCCCTGAATTATCAGTACTGTTTTCAGCTCATATCTAAAACACAGCCCCATAGTAGCTACTATGAAGAAAATTAACTCTATCCCAGCCAAAAGCAGCACACCAAGATAGGGTTGTGGCTAGAGAGCTAGGTGACATTGAGCGAGCAATATCCACCAGTGTTCTACAGTGTTGTGCTTGATATCCTTGTCATGAAAATATTATTTGAATGCAGTGACTTTTTTTTTTCACCAGTTAAGAATTTTTTTATTTTATGTGGAGAAATTGGAAATATCCCCTGAAGAAAACCTTCATGTGAAAAAAATCTTTACAGCTTTCTGCTAGGAAAAAGCTTTGCTAGAGGATTTGATTTTAAAAACACTTCTGAAGAAGAATACAAGCTCTAAGAAAAACATAGCTTATTTTTTCCATAGTGTACATAATACACATTATAATGTATCCAGCAAGAAGAATGAGTATCAAACTGGAAAACGAAAGAGTGAGGTAAGTTTTAAAATGATGAAGAGATTTGGAGTGGTTTAGTTGAAAAGTGACGTGTATTTGTGGGAAGAACAGCAGACAAATATAGATAGCTTATGGGAGGAAACAAATACGATACCAGTATCAAGTATGAGGAAGATGAAAAGCATTAATAGTGACATTTTAAAGTGAGAAATAAAAGGTCTAAGGTTATTAGATAAGTTTATAACAAAAGAAAAAATTACACAGACATGAAAGGAAGGGGCAGGGAAAAAGAAGTGCATTGTTGAATGATTGCAGCCCAAACTTGGCAGTTAAAATATTCGTATGTATATAAAATCTTGTTCATAACCGAGTTCAGCAGCACTTAGTAGATTTGGAAAAGTCTATGCACCCTCAGCAGCATCTGGGATATTGATCATAGAATGGTTTGGGTTGGAAGGGACCTTAAAGCTCATCTAGTTCCAAGCCCCCTGCCATGGGCAGGGACCACTAGCCCAGGTTGCTCAAAGCCCCATCCAACCTGGCCTTAAACCATTCCAGGAAGGGCGCAGCCACAGCTGCTCTGGGCAACCTGTGCCAGTGTCTCACAACTCTCATCATAAAAAATATCTTCCTCCCATCCAATCGAAATCTACCCTCTTTCAGTTTAAAACCGTTGCCTCTTGTCCTGACACTACAGGCCCTATTAAAAAGTCTTTCTCTTTCTTAAAAGCCCTCGTTATATATTGAAAGGCCATACTAAGATCTCCTCAGAGCCTTTTCTTTTCCAGTCTGAACAACACCAACTCTCTCAGCTGTTTTCATAGGAGAGGTGTTCCATCACTTTTGTGGCTCTCATCAGGACCCACTTTAACAGGTT